GGTACCCCTAATAATACTACCTACGTAAACCCCAAAAATCCGCACCGGAAGCCGGCAGACTGCCTTGGACTCACGCTTGAGGCGTTTCAGCTCCACCTGCAGGTTTAGGGTTTAGGGTTTAGGGTTTTGGGTTTAGGGCTCAGTTTGGGATTGTTTAGGCCTGGTTTCGAGATTGTCGGATTTCCGGTGATTTACCACAAACCCTAAACCCTAAACCCCTCGAACCCTGAACCCGTTCTGGGGTTTGGGGTAGTTGATGGCTTAGGATGAGGATTCAGGTTTCGGCAGCAAGGCTGTCGGCCGGTATAGTATGGCTTGATAAGAAGGAGCCCGAAGGAATAGAACCACCATTTATCCAGAGGTCCAGAACCCAAAACCCTAAACTCTAAATCCTAAACTGTATGAAGGGCCCTGCATTAGATTTCAATGCCTTCTATCTTAGTTTACTCGCAAGTCGGTGGGACCCTTCACTGGGAACTGGGGTCAAAGGTGAAAGGGTTTTGGGGCTTTGGGGGTTTAGGGTAACTCGTATCTCGAATCCACACAAGAGGCCCAGTCTGAAGCATCCCCACATGATGAGTTAAAACAGAACGAATTCCGACAGAAACTTTGGACTTTGGGTCAACGTAAGGCTCCATGTGCCCAAATAGTATATACTTTGTCATTGAAGCAATCCTATTTGGGTAGTGTGGGGCCACAGTATCTACTATCTGGGCAGATGGACGCTTACGGTCAGACACTAGCCAGAACACTTCGGGGTCTCCTGGCTGAAAGGCCCCAAGCTGGACACGAACCAGAACCTCTCCGATATCTGTGCTAGAGCCCGAAATTAAGCAGCTGTTTGCTACACTGCTACACCTTCCAAAATCTCAAAACCCAAAAATTTCAACCCTGAGCCCGAAGCCCAAGCCCTGACCACGAGGATGCCCGTTACGATTTCCGAATGCCATACGAGCGAATTCTGCAACGTCAAACCGTCTGTCCTACTCTACGACTCCGTGCATTCACTCTTCATTTTGCCCGTGCAGTTCCAAACAGCCCAAGGTAGTACTGTTTATAGACTATAGACCCCAAAGTCAGTAGGTACCCTAAACCCTAAACCCTAAACCTTACACTTGGAGGCCAAGCGCCTAGGATTCGGGGTCAGTCACGATCACTCTTATAACGGTGCACAGCAGCAGGAGCCACCGCGCCTTTTCTGCGTCGCTTTGAAAGCTTTCAAGATACCTAGGCAGGTGGCGCAGTCCAGTTTCAGAGCATCCTACTTTGGGGTCTCGGGTTGCCGCTTAGAAGGATGCCGAATAGGGCTTATAATTAGGGTTTAGGGTTTACCCGTAGTTCCTTCTATTTTTGGGCTTCATATATAGAATCCTATAAGGTAATCCCAAAAAGGAACTACTATGGGGCCTATGGCTAGGGTCTACTTAAAAACTCATGGCCACGTGAGTCGGGTATAACAGTTTGCGCCCCAACACCCTGCACCGCCAACCATAGGGTTTAGGGTTCAGGGTTTATAGGGTTTATAGGGTTTAGGGTTTAGGGTTTAGGGCGTACTGTAAGCATACGCACAAGTCCAACTGCCGTTGTGTGGAACCCGGTGCTACACCGGAGGCTTCATGTGCTCATGTAGTATCCGCTTTGGCCTTAACCCTAAGGGTCCATGTACCCAAATAGCATATACTTTGGCCTTAATGTAGTCCCTATATGGGTACTTTAGGGCCAATGTTCTACTATTCAGGTACATAGATCCTTAGGGTAATGTCGTCCCCATTTAGGTACTTGTAGGGCCTAAGTATATACTGTATGGCTACGTGGACTCTTGGGAGTCTTCATGAACTCAAGGCAAAAGCTGAAATAGAGAAGCGTTTGCTTTAGGGCTGTTTAGGGTTTGGGGTTTCTAGGGTGCTTGTACATTATAACGAACAGGCCAAAACCCTAGACTAGCCTCAGGATCTAGCTAGCATCATCCAGGCTTCTAAATTTGCTCCAGCATGTACCAAGGTAACAGTCCAGGATAGAGTGTATACCTGCGGCCGCTCTATACACTGAAACCTTACTAAAAACTCAAAACCCAAACCCAAACAAACAGAAATAGTATTCCTGGATGCACCCTTTAGCGCGGCGCAAGAAATCCTATGGGGCCCCAAAGAGCCCAAAGCCCCAGGTATACCCTAAAGCCGAGGTCGAAACGAGAGTTGCTCGTCGCCTTAGTCTCAGGGTCAAGTTCCGCGGGTCTCTTAGTGACTCGAATCGTGTGTTTTTTCAATCACGGTTTAGGGTTTAGGGCTCGGGTTGTAAATTCCTATACATTGCTCTACAATGACAGGGGCTATAATGCAAAACTGTAGTAGATGTAGGGGCCTTCAAAAATACCGGCTCGAATATCCCCGATATGGGGTTCCTACAATGGCTACTGCAAGGGGGCAGGGGTTAGTTTTGGGATTGAGTCCTATACCCTAAGGGCCCATGTGCCCACATCGTATATACTTTGGCCCCAAAGTACTTAAATAGGGACTACTTCAAGGCCACAGCATATACGATTTTGGTACATGGACCCTTAGGTTAGGGATAGAGCTCTCGGGCTGCATCGTTAAAACTTAGTTTCGGATACCTTAGCAAACGTCAAACCACCTTTCAAGTTCAAGTCAATGGAAACCGAGGGTACGCCATTAGACGGAACGAAAGCGTGGAATGATATTTCTGAGAGTGTTTGAGACGTATCTTGCTGCAATTTCAGTATCTGTTCTGCGAGCGTAATGTCTGTCTGCGAGCACGGCTGTTTTGATAATGTAGGGGCCCGAAGAATTAGAATAGGGTTTTTGTGGGCTCCCTGTGATAATTATAGTATAATAGTCCGTCAGTCAGTTGGTATGCCTGTCCTGCTGGCTTGCATGCACGCGAATAGTGCGTAGAAATAAATGCAATAACGCTGCATAGACGAACAAACACATACATGATTACATGACGACATACGTATGAATAAACACAGAGGTATGACTATACGTAACTTCATGAGTCTAGATCTCTCTTTACACATATATATATATATATATCTTATGCATACGTACATAACTACACAGATAGAGAGAGACGTATGTCAACCAATCAGTGTATATGTCGATGTCGAAGAGATGCTGTTCCATGTCGAGATCTCAACGGAAATTTGTTGCTGAGATTGCTTCTCTACACGGACACATGGACATGCAGACGTAAACACATAACTGGAGTACGCATGCATACAGAACATAACAGGCCTTAGAACAATAATGGGTTTTGCGGGGGTGCATTCTGGTGTACTGGTATCAAATAAGGAACCCTAAGGAACAGTATTAGCAATTCTTCAGGCCCCTACATCGCACGCATGCATAAAGACAAACCTTAAGGGTCCATGGACCCAAATAGTATCTACTTTGGCCTTGAAGTAGTCCCTATATAGGTACTTTGGGGCCGAAGTATATACTATTTGGGTACATGGACCCTTAAACCCTATAGAACCCTTCAAGGACCCCTTAAAGGAACCCATGGACCTTAAACCCTAAACCCTAAACCCTAGACCCTAAACCCGCTTCGTTGAGACTGAGGGGGCGGCTCATGGCTGAGGCAGGTGTGCGGGCCACTTGGACCTGCTCTAAGAGGTTTTAAAGGTGTTAGGTTTAGGGTTTAGGGTTTAGGGTTTAGGGTTTAGGGTTTAGGGCCTGCTGTAAGAGGCTTTAAAGGAGTTACCATGTAGGCTTGACAGGGCTCTAGACGGGTTTTCTGCGGCTTCAGTTATAGGGTTTGGGATATAGGATTTAGGGGTTGGGGTGTCGTAGGGTTTGGTAATTCTGTAAGGGTAATTTATGGTTCAGGGGCTTAGTGTAGGGCTCTGTTCGGGGTTCCTGGGTGGGAATTCTAACGGTTCGATTAGGGTCCGTAGGGGTTCTATAGTGGGCAGGGTTTAGGGTTTAAAGTTGTAAGAAGGTTTGAAAGTGTTTTTACTGTGGGGTTTTGGGGATTCGCTTCCCGTGTCCAACGTGCTGTTACGAGTTAATAACGTCCCAGGACTTTGCGGGCTTGTAGTTGTAGAGCAAAACTTTATGTTGCTCTTGGTTAAGCTTTGGGGTTTGCAGCTTGATAGCGTTGAGAGCATGATGAACATTTCTGGGTAATAGGGTTAATGTAGGGGCCTAAATAAATACCAATACTATTTTGAGGGTTCCTTATTATAATAATTACAGTATCACGGGCCGCAAAACCCTACTCTAACTTTTGAGGCCCCTAAACCCTAAACCCTTATGGTAGCCCTTGCAGAACTCTTTAAAAAAGGAAACCCAAAAACCCTGTTCCAATTATCCAGGCCCCTGTATTACGTCAGCTTGGAGAGGATTTGGGATGCAGGTCCGGGTATGCCCCGTGAGTGCGGAGCCGGGGAAGGGGGTTTAGGGTTTAGGGGAATGAAGTGACCGAGATTTGATGCAATTCTGCCTGAACTGGTGATAGCGATGTCGGTGACGAAGTATGTATAAACATGACCCTAAACTCGAAACCCTAAACCCTAAACCCGCACCCTAAACCCTTGGACTTAAACTGAGCGCTAGCTGCTCTGCACAAGCCAACCTGAGAAGGAGCCGCCACGATGTTCATGGCCACACTATACCCACGGTTTAGGGTTTAGGGGGTTTAGGGGGTTTGGGGGGTTTAGGGGGTTTAGGGGGTTTAGGGTTAAGGGTACCCTGGGGTACCCTATGGGTCTAGTCCGTGACAGTTGTGGCTCCCGGATGCTACATGTAATCGTCATGGGGCGTCTTCGGGATTCGTTGGATGTAGTAAACCCTACGGGTCCATGTACCCAAATAGTATATACATTGGCCCCAAAGTACCTATCTAGGGACTACATCAAGGCCAAAGTATATGCTGCTATTTGGGGGTTTCCGGAAATAGGGGAATCCCAGTATAGTACTCTGAATAGTAGGATGCTTATTATAAGGACCCCAAAATAAGGTACCCCTTATTTTCGGAAACTCCCATTTGGGTACATGGACCCTTAGGGTTTGGATTCGTTGGATGTAGTAAACATGCAAATGCACCGAGCCTGTCCAGCGCTCCTGGACCACACTGACTGCCACCTTAGCCCAGGTTTAACCTTTAGGGTTTAGGGTTTAGGGTTTAGAGTTACTTGATTGCTTTAGGGTTTAGGGTTTAGAGGGTTTAGGGTTTAGGGTTTAGAGTTACATGATTGCTTTGAGCCATTTTTCTTTCAGAGATGATGCAGAAGTGATGCGGTGGCTGCTTAAACCGTATATACTTTTTGGAGATATGGGAGTTTCCAAAAATTAGGGGTACCTTATTTTGGGGTTCTTATAATAAGGATCCTATTATTTGGGGTACTATATTGGGGTCCCGTATTTTCGGAAACCCCCATATGACAGGTAAAATTGGCGCTGTGCACAAGTACCGCGACTGCGACCTCCGACCCAGCACGTCCATGTTGATGGTAGGTTTGTTGCTCTCGATACTCCGAAGCCCTAAGGGTCCATGTACCCAAATAGTATATACTTTGGCCTTAATGTAGTCCCTAAATAGGTACTTTGGGGCCAATATATACTATTTGAGTACATGGACCCTTAGGGAAGAGGCAACACCCTCAACCCTAAACCCCTAAACGCCAC